AGATGGCCCCTATATGCAATGACAAGTGTCCTTTTAAAAAAGAAACAAAAGAGGAGAGGGCAGTGTGATCACAGAGGAAGAGACTGGACTTATGTGGCCACAAGCCAAGGACCATCTAGAGCCACCAGAAGCTGGGAGAAGCATGGTACAGAACCTCAACTAAAGCCTTCCAACAGAACAGGGTAGTTCCGACATCATGGTTTCAGATTGCTGGCCACCAGAACTGTGAGAGTGAATTTCTGTGGTTTTAAGCCTTCTAGTTAGTAGTAATTTGTTACATCAGCCCAGGAAATTAGTAACAGAATGGAATACATGAATCTTAAGTGCACAATTCTCCACATATTTTTATTGTAAAGTGTTGTATCTATCAGTTCCATTTCCTTTTGTCCGTGCTAACTCCTGTCCCCAGAGTCTCATCTTCTAGCTCGTTTATAGCACATGCAAAGGCCCTGAGGCCAGAAAGAAAATAGCCTGTTCAGTGTTGAACAGTGAGAACACATGGACACAGGGAGGGGAGCATCACACACTGGGGTCTGTTGGGGGGAAATAGGGGAGGGACAGCGGGGGGTGGGGAGTTGGGAGAGATAGCATGGGGAGAAATGCCAGATATAGGTAAAGGGGATGAAGGCAGCAAATCACGCTGCCATCTGTGTACCTATGCAACAATCTTGCATGTTCTTCCCATGTACCCCAAAATCTAAAATGCAATTAAAAAAAAGGAAAAAGAAAGAAAAAAAATTGCCTGTTCAAGAAACTGAAAAAAGACCAGCATCTCCAGAGCATGGTAAATAGGAGAGTGGGTGGCACCTGATAAAGCTTGTTCCTGGCAAAAGACAATTCCCAGTGTAAGAGATATTCTGGTACCAGATATTAAGTTGATATGTACTAACTCATCTATGCACTCATCATCTGATGTGGTTGCTCAAGGTCTGGCTGAGTTAGATAATAAAAAATTAGAGGATAACATAAAAATGAAAAAAGAAAGGACAAATTAGTAAAGCAGAAAGACCTTTATAACAAGAGTAGTTACATTGACTTCAAATACTTCAACCCAAGAATGAATGAATTTAAACAAACACATACGACACATAAAAGATTGGTGCCACAGCTGTGCTATTTCATAGACAGTGACAGTGATTTCAACATATCAACCTGCTCAGTATGTTCAAATAAAATAAAAGGACTTAGAGTAAATGATTTCTTCTGCCTATATTTATTTCTTTGTTTGGCTGTTTGCATTACTATACACTCAATATTTTCGTCATGGATTATTAAAAGAAATCATAAACAGCTGCTGCCGGCTGCAAGATTATTTGTTTGAAGTACCGTGTCACTCCTCTTAAAACACACACAATTACATATACACATACTTACACACACATTCACAAGCACTCACCCACAGTCAAGTAGGCAGTGATGAAAAATGTTCAATCAGAAATAATGTGCATCCCACCTTCCCTCTGACTTCAAGATAAATACATCAAGTCTTGAAAGGGCAAAGATTTAACAACTGTTTTCATCTCCTTCTTTTTTATCTCCTTAAAATAATGGATACTCTTAGTTTGAGATTTTTGTTGAACCTGCAAGTGCATCAAGTCTACTTCCAGATTAAATCCCCAATATCATTTTTTCATGTCTTCACCTGCTTTTTTCCTTTTTTTTTTTTTTTTTTTTTTTTTTGAGATAGAGTCTCACTCTGTCACCAGACCCCAGGCTGGAGTCCAGTGGTGGGATCTTGGCTCACTGCAACCTCTGCCTCCCAGGTTCAAGCAATTCTTCTACCTCAGCCTCCCAAGTAGCTAGGACTACAGGCACATGCCAGCACCCCCAGCTAATTTTTGTATTTTTTAGTAGAGACGGGGTCTTCACCTGCTTTTATGGGTTAGCACAATCTTGCTCTAAGCAGTTACTTAATGAGATATATGGTAATATATTTGGTACAGACTACTTTGCCTACATAACTACTCAGGTGTAACTATTTTCCTCTTCTAATAAGAACTTCCACTCTTCAGATCCAAGCATTTCAGATCAACGTTGTCTTCTGTTTTCTAGAAAGCTAAGACATAATTCAAGGAAATTCTGTTGTTTATTTATTATAATACTCTTATCATCTGCAGGTGTATTTGGAAAACTGCAACTCTTTCCCTTCAGTTCAGCTTGGTTTAGATTACAGAAGTATCTGGGAGCATAAGAAAAACGAACAACCCCATTTAAAAGTGGGCAAAGGACATGAACAGACATTTCTCAAAAGAAGACATACATGCAGTCAACAAGCCTATGAATAAAGCTCAATATTACTTATCATTAGAGAAATGCAAATCAAACCCAGGGATGATTTGCATTTCTCTAATGCAAATGGATGCATTAGGATGAGATACCATCTCACACCAGTTGGAACAGCTATTAAGAAGTCAAAAAATAACAGATGTTGCCAAGGTAGCAGAGAAAAGGGAACACTCATACATAGTTGGTGGGAATGTAAATTGGTTCAACCATTGTGGAAAACAGTATGGTGATTCTTCAAAGAGGTAGGAGCAGAACTGCCATTTGACCTAGCAATCCCATTACTGGGATATGTGCCCAGAAGAATATAAATCATTCTCCCATAAAGACACATGCATGTGAATGTTCATTGCAGCAATATTCATGATAGGAAAGACATGGAATCCACCTAAATGCCCATCAATGACAGACTGCATTAAAAAATGTGGTACATATACACCATGGAATATTATGCACCCATAAAAGAGAATGAGATCATGTCTTTTGCTGGAACATGGATAGAGCTGGAGGCTATTATTCTTAGCAAACTAAAGGGTGAAGAGAAAACCAAATACTGTATGTCCTCATTTATAAGTGGGAGCTAAATGATAAGAACTGATGAGCACAAGAAAACAACAGACACTGAGGTCTGCTTGAGAGGGGAAGGTGGGAGGAGGGAGAACAGCAGAAAAGATCAGATTAGATACTGGGCTTAATACCTGAGTGATGAAGTAACCTGTATAACAAACCACCATGACACATGTTGACCTATGTAACAAACCTTTATATGTAACCTCAAACCTAAAATAAAAGTGTGAAAAAAGGAATTTACTGTAGTTAAATTATATAGGATATTTCACACAACATTCATCTTCATCTCCTTACTTCTGATATAATTTTATAAGGAGTTGGGGAGGCATCATTATCACATTTGACAAATGAGAAGTGTGATCAACATTGAAGTGAATCAACACATGCTGAAGTGGGTTGGGAGAGAGCCTGGAGAATTGGGTGCCCTCACTCCTCCCCTGGGCCTTTCTCCATGAATCATGAACCTCTGCCTTCAGTGCTCACATCAACTGCCCAGGGAAATATGACTATGCTCATTTCACCTCTCAAGAAACTGTTCAGGAGGCACAAGACCCTTCACAAATGAGTGATTCTTCAATAAGAAAAAATATGTATGATAAAATTGACATCTCATTTGAGTATTTGTGAATGCTTTTCATGTTCAAGGAGATTTTCCAGGCACTGGGAATGGAGTAAGGGGTAAACAGGTGCAATTTCAAGCCTAAAAGAAATCAGAAGCTTGTAGGAAAATAGGCAATGAATTCACAATCACCCCAATAATTGCATAATGAAAAGTATTTGGGGATTCTTTCGAAGACAGGCACAGATTTTACAAGTAAGTATCTGAAATCAAGTCAGTTAGGGGAAAACTCCTTGAAGACAGGACATTTAATTTGAAAGCTGAAGGCCAGCAAGTTGGAATACGGCATTTTAGACAGCACATGTAAAAGCTCTGAGGCAAGAAAGAAAGTGGTACTTTCAAAATGCTAGAGGAAGGTCAGTATGTTGACAGCATGTTCAACAGGGGTGTAGGTCATGCCTCATGAGGCTTCAGAGGTAGACCAAGGCCAGTTCATAGAGCCTTGTGGGTTTGCTAAGAATTTTGGACATTTCTGAAGTAAAATGGGAAGGCACTAAACAGTTTTATGTAGAGGATTATGCCCTAACTTCTCACAGTACTGTAGCTGGTTGTTATAGAGAAGGATAGAAGTTGAAAGGTGAGTTAGGAAGCTCAAACCAGAAATTTGATAAATAATTGATTGATATGCTTTGTCTCTATAGAATTCCCACCCTAATCTCACCTTGAATTGTCATAATCCCAAGTGTCAAGGGCGGGACCAGGTGGAGATAATTAAATCACAGGGGCTGTTCCCCAATACTGTTCTCATGATAGTGAGTGAGTTCTCACATCTGATGATTTTATAAGGGGCTTCCCTCTTTGCTAGGCACTCATTCTCTCTCCTGCCTCCCTGTGAAGAGGTGCCTTCTGCCATGATTATAAGTTTCTTAAGGCCTCCCCAGCCATGTGGAACTATGAGTCAATTGAACTTCTTTTCTTTAAAAATTACCCAGTCTTTATAGTTCTTTATAGCAGCGTGAGAACAAACCAACACACTGGTAAATTCTTTCTTCTTTTCCTGGATGACTTAATCTTATTTTGCTAACTTTCATAATCTGAGATCTCAGGAAACGCTGCCACATAAATAGCTATTCTATTCTTTATCTAAAGTTAATTTCTTATTCATGTTATTACTCTAGAAAGTGTAAGTGCCTTCCTTATATATGTGATTTATGCAGAGACATTTTGGCTGTTAGAAATGATATCAGGAAAATATCCATTTTCCAGAATTTTTGGTTAACAAAAGCAATGTAGGACTCACATTTTTGCAGGGTTCACAACTATCTCTACCACAGTTCTCAGGAGGCTCTCTCGTAACTTTGATTCCAGATCAGTGACAAAGATGACAGAAATTGTTGCTATTGTAGCTCATTTACACACAAGATGAAGCCAGCGGGACAGATGTTCCGAAAAAGAATAAAATGCAATTTAAGAAAATAACTCTCTTTGAACTTAGAAAATGACATGGAGGAAATTTGGGTCCTGATTTCAAGAGGTAGGGTTTGTGAAAAGTAATAATTTTATACCCACCCCACTCCTTTCTTCCTAGTTGAACTGATGAATGCTCCAAGATGTACAGCATTTGTACTGATTCTACATTGATCTTTTTCTGCATTGGGTCTGACTTAAGGGAATCTGACAGCACTGGGCCAAAAAATGAGTAACATTTATTAGTCCCTTGGTTACTGAACAAGCAGAGACAAAGTCAGGTAAGACATTCTGTTCACATGCAATAAAAATCAAACGTGGATTTCTCTGGAAATACTTGCGACTTATAGAACTTAGGCATTAAAAAGGTGCAACATGACTGTTCTTCTCTATAAAGGAACGATATTTAAATTGAGACAGTGGAGAAGTGCACATTATACAGATACCTCTTCCATCCCATCTAGAAAACAATTCTTGCCTTTTTTCTTTAATTGGCACAGACACAGAAGAGGAGCAGTGTGTCTGTTTGTTTGCTTTCCAAATGTTTAAATGTCACTCAGAGAAAGTCTTTCCTATATTTCTATGATACTTGTCTTATCACCGGAATTCAAGTCTACAATCTCTTATCCACTATTCCAAAGTTGAAAATTCTGAATCTGTAAATGTTTTTGCAATTTTGGCTCCAAAGCTCTTTGAGTGGCAAAATCTGCCTTAATCTGATGTGAGCCTATTTATAGAGTTTATTCTACTAAGAAAGAATATTTATTTCACTATATAAATTTTAATATATTTATTGTGTGGTACAGCCCCATGGCTGTATATGCAGAATATTTAGAATATACATTGTATTTCCTTTCTAAAATCTAAAATATTTTGAATTTTCACCTAAGGGTTTTGGTAAAGGAATGTGGACCCATGCCACAAAGCAAAGAAAATTCAGCTCACTGAGTCTGACTACCTCGAGGCTTCTATCACTGTGGGCAAGTGTTGAAAGACTTGTCATATTGGGAAATAAAGTCCTTGTCCAAATGACCCGATGAATCACTTCCTTCCTTTTTGGCCAGTGTGGTCTGTTCATGGGTCACTGAAGACAGAAGTCAAGGAATCACTGTGTTTTAGGACAGATGTGCTGATCTAAATTTTAGATCCTAAAATATGCTATGTTGGCTCAGCGGCATTGCCTGGTAACAAAGACAATTACAATGAGGATTTATTTATTCCATAAATATTTACTGAGCGCCTATTATGAAATGTCAAACATGTTGTAACAGAAAAAGAACTCAGCTACAAGTCAGGAGCCCTGGGTTCAAATTGATTTAGTGACGTAACTCTTGTATAAAGTTTGGCAAGTCACTTTACTTCTCTTTCTCTCTAGATACTCACATTAACTAAATTTATTAATATACTCGAAAGCACATTTGTGTATTTTATTGAGCTTCTGTGCTAAATGCCTTAGATGTACCATATAGAGAATTTTTATGTCCAAATAAGATTGGTGGGCATACTAGGATGGCTAAAACACTCACCCTCCAAGAGCAAACTGATAGGCAGCACCAAAATAGTTTCGGAAGATAGGCTGCTCTGAGTCCTTGCAAGGAAAATATGGAAGGGGGAAGGGAGAAAGAAGCATCTGAAAGGAATTTCATCTAAAACAGCTGCCTTGCTAAGTCCCTGTTTCAAATTGCCTGTTAGCTGATCTGACTTAAGACTTTTTTTTTAATCAAGAAACAAAATCTGTGGGGTTTGCTAGTTCAATTCATTTGCACATTTCTCACAGCTACATATGGCAGGACTGGAATGATCAAATTTCTTTCAGCTTTATCATAAATCACAGAGATTCCAATGTGTCCTTCACAGCTTTAAGTTTTCAAAACCATCATGACTAATGAAATATTTATTCTGAGACCTACAGCCTCTCTCGCATTGAGTCACGTTCCTTAGAGGAGAGACTTTGACAAAGAGCCCATCAAAAAAGCAGCTGGGGGCCGCGACCCTGGCCCCACTACCATCCTCCACTTTCGGCCTTCGCATCTGCCACCTTCAGGTTACCAAATGGCATGTCTCATAAACTGTGAGCACCGGCGTTTTCTCAACTCGACAGCTTTCAGTTGGAAACTAATCAAACTTTAAGGATTCAACTTAAGAGCAAAAAGTGGCTTTTTCAAGGTTTTATTACTTTGTAAAATTTATTAGGTTACAAATCAAGTTAATTTAAAAAGGGGACCTAGTTATTTTTACTAGTTTAAAAGTTTTCACTGTTATATAAAGTCAAACAACCAAAATCAGGTAAATTTCCTTACAAATTGGCTGTCGCCCAAGAGTTTACAGAAAAACTAGGATGAACCCATTTTCTGCAAAAGCAACAATGATGCAAATAATGAAGAGGCTGGGCTCACACAGAAAGATAATCCTTACTCGTTGAGATTGCTGACCAAATATAGAAAGGCATTTGCTAAGATCCTATGGAGATTTCTTCCATGCTCCTTTGCAACGTTTCTTGGCTATTCCTCTCATGAAGAAGTGAAATCCATTTCTCCTCCTCTTATCTGATCTGGCTGTATGGCCAGCTTTCACCAACATAATGGGACAAGAGTGGCAGTGCCAGTTCTTGCCCAGGTTTTAAAAGGTCTTACAAATTTGCTTTTACTCTCTTGCAACATGGACTGAGATTGCCATGTCCCGTAGCTGGCCCAACCCCCCTGAGGATGAGAGCCCATTGAGAAGAGAGCCTAAGTGCCCCAACCAGCAAGACAAGTGAGTGAAGCCATCTTGTTCCTTCTGGCCAGGATGACATTCTAGCAAAATGCAACCATGCAGGTCAGCCCAGGTAAAACCAGCAGAAAAGTTACCCATCAGCTCACAAAATCATGAGAAATAAATCATCGTGGTTTATGCTTCTATGTTCTAGGGATACCTGCATTCTAGTTTTGGCCTTGCCACTCATCAGTTGTTTACATTTGATTCTATGCACTTTATGTCACATCTCAAAGGTAGAAACATGAACTACATAAAAACTAAAGTCCCTTCTTATTTCTCTGTTATGGAAACTTTCACCAAATCTGCAAACTTGAATCCATTCTTGATGGCATAAAGCTGTAAAGGTTCAATAACAATAACCAGCAAGAAAAATCTTAAAGATAGACATTGGTAGCTCCTGTTGTGATGGGATAACAAGCATCTCAAAAAAACATGCTGGCAAACACATAAAGTAATTGTTGCATGCATCATCGATACATAAATTAGAAATTCATGCTTTTGGGAAAAGTAAAGAACTTGGGCAGACAAAGTATAGAAGAAATAGATTCTGTTTGAACAAGAATTGTTCTGCTTCATTTTCTATCATTGTGGCTCAAGAGCATTTTGCAAATGAGTGTGGGTAGTTAGCTGTTACCATGGGTCAGGTGCATACACTACGCGTAAGTCAACTGTCAGGAGCCGAAATGAGTCCATCTGCTCCCTTTAAAATCTGTGCAGGAATACTCCTAAATCAGAAAGAAGGTCAATACTGAATCTTTGTAATTGTTTTAACAAATGTATAGGCTAAAGGTTTTTTAAAAAATTAAAATAATACAGAACTATATAGGTTACAAAGTAAACACCACATTTTACTTTCTGTGTTGCTCTCTTCTCACTCTGCCTCCTTCATAGAGCCTCCGCAAATCATAATTAATGGAAATTTTGTTCACGCTTTAGTGTATATGTTTATACACGGAAATATGTATGAATAGATTTTTTATAAATAAAATTATGCTATAAAACAATCTTACCCAGTTACTCATTTCTGCTTTTTTTGTGAGCCCACAACATTATCTCTTGCAGATATTCTGCATAATTGGTGATTTCTGACTGCCTGCTGAAATTCTTTCTTGATACTTGTGGTAATCATTGCCTGATGGGAACATTTCCTTCTTCAGCATGTGTAATCATAATTATTTTAGATTCCTATGTAAAGTTAATCAACCCTGAAGGGGAATCCCTGGATGTCACCACAGAGGTAACATCTATCATTTCTGCTATTTTATTTTGTCTGATCTTTGTTGAATAAGTAATCATCTTCTGTTTACAAAACTAGCCTAGTAAAATTGAAAGTATTATCTGAAGCATAATGTGTGTCTTTGGCAGATAAACAGACCTAGTTATTGATATGTGCTGAATATTGTTATTAAAAAAATAAGAGTTACACTGAATGAATGAAATATGTGCCAGGTAACGTATTTCATTCTTTCTTAAATTGCTTTAATTTAAGAAAGGCTAAGTTACACAAAAGAGTATTAGCAATTGCCTTCCTCAGTACATTTCTCAAATTTTTCTTACCTGCCGTGACTGTTACCAAGTAATGTTGAATGGAAAATCTGTGACATTTTCTATAATAAGACAATTTCGACACCAACATAACATATAATCTCAAAGATCTTTCTAACCTCAAATACCTGCTGCTATGGCAACTTCCAAAGAACTCACTTTTCAAAATATTTGGATATACTGAGAGCACGTTAAAAATTTATTGGCTTTTCCAAAACTCTCTGATTTGAATTAAGGCCTATTTTTATCTACCTGTTAAAAATTATCTCTGTTCATTACAATTTTTGTCAACTAGTTTTAGAGGTTAAACCCTAGGACAGAAGAGATCAAATAGATCAGGATTTTGATAAGTAAAACATGAAATGTTTGAAAATATTACGTGAATATTGAGATTCTAATGCAATTAAGGCCAGGATTGTTTTATATTTTCTGTTGGAAATCATGCCCACCAGAAGTAAACTGTAGGATATCATATTACGGTTTTGGGGTTTCTTTTTTTTTGAAGATGAAATCTTGATACTGTGGCTTTTTCTCAGAAAATATAGGCCAGTTGTGGGAAGTAGCAACAGGTATAGAAATTACAAGGGAATACTCTGTCCACATTAGCACACTGTCACATTTGAATGGTGTTGGGCAGTATTCATTGCTGGAATGAATGGTCTGTTTTTGCTGCAGTGGGAGTCACCTCTCTCATCTCTTTGAAAGAAGCTGTGTACATTTAGGAAATAAAGCAGACTGTAAGATGATGTCAGTGCCCCAGTATAGCTGTATATACAGCTAACATTCACAATATATCAAGACCAGGAAAAAATATTCCAGAAAACTAAAATTCTTCCATAACTTTCTAAAGAAACGCATTTTATGAAAACGTTCTGCATAGTGGCTGAAGCTTGCTATACATAAGTGTGTTAATCAGATGAATGAGGTTAACTGTAGGAAACTTTCTCCATCTCAGGAAGACTTAATGATAAGCTTCTATGCTATTTGAATTCTGTTTCATATATATATATTTTTTAGACAGAGTTTTGCTCTGTCACCCAGATTGGAGTGCAGTGTTATGATCTTGGCTCACTGCAACCTCCACCTCTTGGGTTGAAGTGATTCTCCTGCCTCGGCCTGGGATTACAGGTACCTTCCACTATGCCTGGCTAATTTTGGTATTTTTAGTAGAGATGGAGTTTCACTGTGTTGGCCATGCTGGTTTTGAACTCCTGACCTCAAGTAATCCACCCGCCTCAGCCTCCCAAAGTGCTGGGATTACAGGTGTGAGCCACCGTGCCTGGCCAATGTTTCTTTTATCTTTTTAAAACTCAATAATACCAAAATCTCCTTAAGCTGATAAGCAACTTCAGCAAAGTCTCAGGTAACAAAATCAATGTGCAAACATAACAAGCATTCCTATACACCAATAACAGACAGAGGACCAAATCATGAGTGAACTCCCATTCACTATTGCTACAAAGATAATTAAATACCTGGGAATACCACTAACAAGGGATGTGAAGCACCTCTTTAAGGAGAACTACAAACTACTGCTCAAGGAAATAACTAAGGAAACAAACAAATGGAAAAACATTCCACACTCATGGTTAGAATCAATACCATGAAAATGGCCATACTGCCCAAAGTAATCTATAGAGTCAATGCTATGCCCAGCAAGCTACCATTGACCTTCTTTACAGAATTGAAAAAAAACAAACAAACTTAAATTTCATATGGAACCAAAAAAGAGCCTGCATAGTCAAGACAATTCTAAGCAAAAACACAAAACAAAGCTGGAGGCATCACGCTACCTGACTTCAAAGTGTACTGTAAGGCTACAGTAATGAAAACAGCATGGTGCTGGTACCAAAACAGATATATAAACCAATGGAACAGAACAGAGGCCTCAGAAATAATGCCACACACCTGCAACCAT